AAAAAAAAATATTTTAGTGTTGGCCTTTAAGTATAAGCTATCATTTTAATCCTGAAAATAATGATGATAAAAATGTTAAATATCATTATACAATTAATAATAAAAAAATAACTACCAATTTTAAGGGTCTGCCATATTCTTAGCACAATTCTGAGTGCTTTCTGTATCTTACAAGAATATAAGTGTTTTAAAGATGTTATTCCCACTTTACCTCTGAGGCTCCTTTAAATTTACGGAAGTCACACCGAAATGTAATAATCAGGATGTCCCACACAGTTTTGTGACCTCCATTTTTTAGCAAATATGCCTTCTTTTACGTTATCTAGTATAGAGTAGGTAGGTAGTAAATGTTTGTGGAATTTCATTGCCCTCCCCCTAAATTGCTGTGTTTCTTTTGGTATATATTTTATATGTTGGAGTACAACTTAAAAGTCAGTGACTGACATAATTAAGACTTTGATTGAAAGAAACTAAACTATACCCTGTTTTGAATTAAAGTGAGATTATGTTTTCCCATATCTGATTTATTAGTAATCCTGATTTCCATTAGCAAGTTAGAAAAGGTCTGTGTTTCACAGACTGAAAAGTATACTAATGATTAATATAGGTTAGCCATCAGATGTTCTGTTTATTTTTTCCCCATACTTTAGATTTAAAAATAAGGTTTTATCTTAGATTTCTAATAGCAAGAATTGGTAAATATGAGCTACTAATTATATTTTGTTTCTTCACCAAGATCAAAGTTCAAGACTTCCAGCTCACTAATTCCCCCTCCCGCCCCCCAGGGACAAATGAATTGCTTTATTATATTTGACTTGTGATTAACTATTTTCTTTAATTCATTTTTTCAACCCTTCCTCCTCCTACCCCTCCCTCCCTGCTTTCCTCCCTCCCTCCACCCCTACCTCTCTCTGGCTCTCTCATTTTACCCTTAGTAAGGGCATTTGTTCTTTGTCTTTTCAAGTTTGTCACTTTAGGTTTTGGTTTGGGGGTTAATTAAGCAACTTGTTATTCCCCCTCCTCAAATAGGTCTGTGATGAATAGGTTGTTTGAGTTATTCAAATGTTTCATGATTAAAAAACAAAGCCATTTCTCCTGCCACAGAACAGTTGTCATTGCTTCCACCTTTGGGTTTGAGATTGCAGGAATGCAATTGCTGCAGAAACCATTTATCCCTTTATGACCTCACCCTGATGAGCACCACATGCGGTTAGGTTGACAACTTTGGTGCTATCACTAGATGCACTGCCACACTTATCTCTTCAAAAGGAAGAAAATACCACAATTCAGAAAAACCACATTTTTTTCTCTTAAAACAACTTGTTTTTTCTGTGTTTGTTTTTGTTCTAATGTTTTGAACTGGGTGTTTGCTGCTGGTAGTGTGCTGTGAATGCTAACTTTGTGCTGTGAATGATCTTTAGAGGAAGAAGCAGAGCCTCCCAGCCATGAGAAAAATTTGATATCTGTGTTGTGAAGTTCTTATAAATTGTAATGGAAGGAATTGACAAGTAGGAATTCTGTAGTTTGGGGCTGGCCATTGGCCCTATAGGCTCTTGATGATTACAATTTGAAAATCTCAAAGTAAATATGATTCAGATCTTGGGAAGATTAATCAGATTAATTAAAATTTTAACACAGTCTCTCTTTGATTAAAACAAATTGTTAGTTAAGGCCACAAGAAAGCATAAACTGGCTGCATGATCCCTGTATATTTCTCAACCACCTCCAAAAAATTAGAATGATTCGCCAATACTTGGTAGAAAACTAATCACTTTGTTGTTTTTTATGGTTATTGTGTATTTAAAGGCTGCACCTCTTCAAATATGTTTTGAGTAGTTTTGAAATTTATGTTACATGTTGTTTTAAGCCCAATCAGATAACTAAATTTTTCTAATTATTTTTCCTTCTAGCTCATTTTCACAAAAAGAGAATTTGGGAAGTACACAATTTCCAGGCAAAACCATCTGGAAATTGAATTCTTAAAATTCTTAAAACCACCTAGCCAGCCTGCCTCCCAGCCTTCCTTCCTGGCTTCTTTTCTTCCTTCCTTTTTTGGGGGTATTTAGTATCACTTGTGAGGCCAGTTCTGTGATGGGCATCTACTGTGTGATATCCACTTAATCCACTGGTGTGAAAACAACACAGACTTATTTTCTCCCTTTTGTAGGAAATTGCATTCCAACTATTTTTTTTTTTGACATCTTTAATTTCAGAGGTTGCCAATGATCAGATCAGGGTCAAGATCAATTTCAAATATTATAGTAAGAAGAGGTAAGAAAAATGAGATCTTAACTTTCTGGTCTCCTGAACTACACATCTCCATTAACGAACTAAAGTTATGTGGGTGTGAAATTTGGTATAGACGCAAGGCGGGTTGAGCACCTTTTGTCTCATATTAGTTGTGGAATGTGGAGATCTGAGTTTACATAGGGGCACTGATATTTCATGGCCAACAATGGGTTCCTTAAGGCTTTGTCATTTCAAATTGGCATGAGGTCTGGTTATTGATGCTCTAAACATATATGAGCCTGCCTCCCAGAGAACTTATTTGCAGCCATACTAACGTGTCTTGACACTCTTGCCAACAGTTCTAGGGGCCCTTGACGTGGTTTACTTTATATAGTCACTACACAGGTTTTAGGGAAGATTCAGCCAAAATTTCTGGGATGAATTTCTATAGATAAGAAATACGTTGGCTTTAAAAATTAAGAGGTTTGAGTCTGTTTTGAATTTGGATATCAAATGAATCTGAGCACATGACATTTTAATGCCGTTTGTCTTTTCAAATAGATTTACCTTCTAATACATGTGACGACAGGACTTTGCTCATCAGCTAAAACATACATTTCAGAGGAGTTGTTACCTAAAATGTTATCATAAGGCATAAGAAAACACATGATTTAAGTTGCCTTTCATGAACATAATTAAGAATTAATAAGCCAGTACCAGTGGCTAGTCCCCAGAATTTCCACTGTTTTGCCTTTTGTGACCTGTGTTATTAAAAGTCCATTATTTTTACAGACTTTATTAAATTGGATCTTATTAAAGCATTCTATATTTGCATTTGGTCTTTCATAATTCATTATTATTATGACATTTACTTTTTACCATCAGATCTGAAAACATATCATAAGCTACCCTTTTCTCTTGAAAGAAATGCTAATTTCAAACAGTCCTCTAATAGAAGAGAAAAGCTTTATCAGTTTTTTCATTTATTCCAGATCGTGTTAAGAATACTAATGCTAGACTTCGGTATGCTAATATCTCTGAGCTTTTTTGGTCAAAAGCTTAGAATTATTATTTTTATCCCATACTGAGTATGAAACTAGAAGACCTGAAACTATTAGAGAAAACATGATTCTGAAGTACAATTCTTGATTCTAAATACTTGTGAAAATGTTGCTAAATCTTGTTTAGATTCGGATGATGCTAGTCAATTTAACTTTGTACCACACGATATTTGTCCTATTTAAGAAATTGTTTTCTCTTAAAATTCATTTTGTTTGTTTTTCTCATAGTATATGGTAGTAAGCTTACAATGTTTGAGACTAAGATTCCTATGCTGTCAGCCCCAGGCAGCATTTAGGGTGTGCTGCCTGCTTTTCTATATGATAATCATTTCTGCATCATTTATGATATAGTCGAAAATTCAATATAGCAAAATTTTACATATTGATATCAGACAAGCTGTCTAATTTTAACATAACTAATACAACACTTAATGAGTTTTTTGTCGGGGTACTAGTAAATTTATTAAACTCTGAAATGGAACTTAATGTTGGATTTTGTCTCATTCTAGATTTCTGACAATGTGCAATCGACACTTTGGCAGTGTAGTTGCACAAACCATTCGGACTCAAAAAACAGATCAGTTTCCACTTTTTCTGATTATCATGGGAAAGCGATCATCTAATGAAGTGTTAAATGTGATACAAGGTAAGGTTCATGTCACAAGAGGAGTACAGTGTCTCCTTGTGTATGTGATAACCTTATAATATTTACCATAAAAATTGACAATAATTCTCTGTGTTGGCGAATATCTTTGCATTTGAAAATATAGAACTTCCTGAAGAAGAACAGCTTCAAAAAATATAGGTGTTGTGAGAAATGAAATATGCTACATGAAAATCCAACAGAGATGTCTTAATAAAATTGCACAGCCCTTGGGACATAGGATAATCATGTGTAATGTTCAGATTGCTAAATTCTCTAATCTAGCAATTAAGTCATAAGCAGTTGTCAAATACAATATTTCATATATATGTGTATATAGAGAGATTTCTTGCTATAATGTTGATTAGTTGAAAGAAATGCTTCTCTTTAGCTATCTAGAAAACAAAATGACTGGATATAGCAAAAGGAATTGTTTACAGTGGCAGTTGTTTCCCCTTATTATTTGTGTGAATCTATGTCTAGAATGCAACCCTGAGGCATGAAGCTTTAGGATACCTGTGAATTTAAACTTTACACAAAATAATTGGTTTTTCCATTCTTTACCAAAAAAAATAAATGAATGATTTTTGTTACTTTTACTAATATACCCCAAAGATTCGTATAAAATATGACCTATTCATGGCAAAGCTTAAATTAAAAACAATGTATCTTCTCTATGCCACAGGGAAAAAGATGTTCCAAGTTCCCTAAGCTAAAGCTTGTGTCTGACATACTTAATTTCTGCCCCTATCTAAGTCAAAAGTTCTGCACCAGATATTGTGATAGGGGGAGGGTGTGTTAAGTTAATTCTAGTGCCTTTAAAATTCAAACAAAATAAAACCTCTGGTATTTTATGTTTTCTCCATAACGAGAACATTTACTTTCATAAATAATGTTAAAGACCTGCTCGGCAAATGAATTGCATAGCGTACATGGGTAATGAAGATGATATTTTATTCTTGTTTTCCCTGTTAGAGGCAATAATGTAGTAGCTAGTGGTTCTCAAAGTGTGGTCCATGGATCCTGGAGGTTCCCTAGACCCTTTCAGGGAATCCATGAGGTGAAAATTATTTTCACAATAGTAATAAGAACTTTTTTATTTTTTTGCCTTTTTCACTCTGTTGACATTTGCACTGGTGGCACAAAATCAATTTGTAAAACTTCTGGCACCTTAGTACAAATCAATGCCATGACACAAAAGTGTGCTAGTAGTCATAGTCTTCCATATACATGCAGTTAAAAAAATTATTACTTGTATTAAATTTTAACCCTTTGTATAGCTTGTGTGACACAATGGGAGTCGTGCATGAGTAAAGAGATCCATTCAAAGGGCAAGAGACACCAGTGAACTTTAATATAACAAAGTACAAAAAGTTTATTGATCTGATTTCAAATTCCTCATGTACCTCACCTTGAAGAAACTTCTGCTTGTCAGTTTAGGTGTCTTAAAGAAGAATATCTACAATTAGCTATTGAAATACTCTTCCCTTTTTCATCTACATGTCTGTGAGGTCAAGTTTGCTTCATAAATTTCAACCAAGACAATATATTATAATTGGTTTAATGTAGAAGTAGATATGAGAATCCAGGTGTTTTCTAAGAGGTCTACAAAAAATGTTAAAACAATGCCACTCATCTCACTAAACCTTTTTTGGGGAACTTAGAGTCATTTTTCATAAAAATGTTATATTTATATTAACATGTAATGGGTTTATTATTGTTACTTTTAAATAACTTGATAAGTATGTTTTAAATGTTACTGTTTTAATTTCTAACATAGTAATGTTGATAAGTATAACCCACATAAACCAAAAATTCTTTAGGGATCTCAATAGTTTTTAAGAGTATAAAGGGGTTCTAAAACCAAAAGTTTTGAAAACGACTGCAGTAAGCTAGAAAGAATAAATTTGCCCTGAACTGCACTAACTGGTACATTTTTTCCATCTTGGATCATTAAGGGATTAGATATAAAGTACCTATGAGTCCAGTTTGACAGTGAATTCTTCCAATTAGGGCTGAAGCATAGTTGATAAACAGTGGCTTAAGCCTAAAATTAATGGTCAGTATATAGTCACCTATACAACTATGTTATTTTCCCGTTGATGATTCCAGTACTCTATGTAAAGTATTCATGCCCTGGACTTGGAGTCTTTGTCACTACAGTTTACAAATATGAAATGGAAACCCAAAAATTTGCTCGCTAACAAAATCTGCATTGAAGGAGATCCTAAACTTTTTGTTATTTGCCATACCTATTAATAATAACTACCAGTGATTGTGTGTGTACTATATACCAGGCACTTTATAGTATCTCTAATCCTTCTAAGAATCCTACAAAGGCAGTGTTATCTTTATTTTGCAGATTAGGAAATTGATCCTTAGAGAGCTACACTCACTCAATTATTCATTTGTTTACTAAGTGAATATTTACTAAGCCCTTATCATGTGCAAGACATTTCCAGGTACCAGATCATATAATTTGTAAATGGTGAAACTAAGGTTAGAACTATGACTACAAAACCAGTTTTGCATTCTCTGTACCATGATACCACACCAACATAATATTTGCTCTCCACCTCTTTTATTGAGAAAGTAGTACTGAGATGTGACCAAATTAGATTTTTTTTTTTTTTTTTTGCTGAAGACCACAGATGCGCCCTAACCCTGTGCTTCCAGTGGACATAAGGAAAATTGGGAAAAGGGCCATTGAAAGAGCATGTTAGTCAATCCCTATTTTGGAAGAAAACCAGCAAGATACTAGCTATTGGTTGTCTCAGTGGTGGTCATTTCATTAATGGGACAAGAATACCCCTTTTTAGGCCCTGGAGAAAGACTCTTTTGCCCATAAATTTGAAAGAACGGGAGAATTGCTATCTCTCTATGTATCCTCATTAATTTCTCTCTTGTAGATACATCCAAAACAAATAACAGGACTTAATGCATTCAGGAAATGGCATACATGGGCTATATGTTTGTTATGAACTTGGACATGGAATAAAATAGCATTAAGGAAAATCAGACATTTTAAATACCCTCTTCATAAAGATTATAGTATAGTCATTTGAAACCAGCTGAAAGGGGAAAATTTCACTTTGGCAAAAAAAATAAAATTTTTTCAGAAATTGAATTACCATTTTTTTCACCAAATTTTAGTAATAGGAAGCAATTCTAAGTTAACAGTGTATTGAGGTGACAAAGTGGACAGGCTTTGAGTCAGACTTACACAGCTTCAAATCCTGGACCCACCACTTAACCAGCTTGATCTTGGGTGGGCAGGTTACTTGAGCACTGTAAGCCTCATTTTCCTTCTCTTTAAAATCTAAATCATGACACCTTTGTAGAATTACTATACAGGTTAAATGAGATAACATATCAAGTGTTTAGCCTTGTCATTAGCATATAAACAAACAGTAGTTGTTAACAGTGTAATTAAGTAAACTTGAAAGAACTTTTGATCCTCATGACTTGGACATTCTTATTTATGGTACTAAAAATCCTTATTAAAAGACAGAGAGAGCAAGAGAGAAGAGAGAGAGAGAGAGAGAGAGAGAGAGAGAGAGAGAGAGAGAGAGAGAGACTCAGACNAGACTCTTCCCTCAAATCTAAATATTCTGATATTTCAATTGCCAGTATATTGCTTTACTCTTTTTTATTGAACATATGAAACTTTTCAATGAAAGAATTTTAACTAGTGATAGCATACTAATCTGTAAGTTTTTTTTTAAGACTGTGGTTAATTCTTACTGATTAATTCTACAATGACTTTCCATTTTATAATAACTAATGTGAAGTTTGGCAATCTCCATGTGTTGCTAGGTAACACAACAGTGGATGAGTTAATGATGAGACTCATGGCTGCAATGGAGATCTTCTCAGCCCAACAACAGGAAGATATAAAGGATGAGGTAAGGTGAAAGGTTAAGTAGACCTTTAATAGGATTTTGCTGAGATAATTTATCAGATGACAATGGTTGCCTGTGCCATGATTGATAAGTAAGGATGATGAAGATGCATTTCCAGATTAGCCAAGGACTTCTATGCCATTGAGTTTACCTTTTAGTCCATTCTTTCGTCGACCCCACAACCCAACAATTTGTTTAACTTTATGGACACTTACACTTTGCTAGATTTGCTGTGGTGGCAAGAGGTCAATTTGCAGGAAATGAATTCCAAAGCATATTTACAGAAGAAACTACAGTCCAGGAAACCCTGTCTACTACATGGGTTTTTCACTAACTTTTAAGGTCATTTTTACTCTTTTTAAATATTGAGATTGATTAGAAATAAATGCATTTTGTATTGGAACATATTTTGAGGCCCTGTGAGAATTAGTGAAAGATCTCCAGAATTCTGAATTTCTCAGCTTCCTGAACATATTCAAATGGAGTAGATGACATGAGCATGGGAACTCAAATAAAATGATAACAACAGCAATATTGGTAATGACAGTGGTAGTCAACACTTGCTGAATATTTATAATGTGCCAGGCACTGTGCTAAGAATTTTACATTTATCATCTCATGTGATCCTCAGAACAACCCCATGAGGCTGTATATGAATCAAGAGTTCTGGCAGGAAACAGATGGCACTTTCAGACTGTTTAATAAGGGGACTGTTTGTAAAGGCATGGGCAGGGTTTATGAAAGTCAGCAACTATACTACAGACTCAAGGGCTGAAGGAAGCCCTTACTACTAGGAGAGGGGGTATATATGGATAGGACTGCTTCTGATAGAAGGGTATAGCCAGCCCTTGGTGACCTGGTAGGGGGACACCAGGGAATAGCTTCGTTTTCCTTCCACACTGATCTCCTGCTAGTACCTCCTGTTGACCTAAGCCAACTAGAAGCTAAAAGGCTAGAGAACCTCCCTGCACAAAAAAGCTAGATGGAGCATGACTACTGAGGGCCGAATGGTAGATAATCCAGCACAGATTGGCTTTATTATCTCTACTTTTTAGTTGAGAAAACTGAGGATTAAAAAGGTTAAGTTAATTTACCCAGTGTCATACAGCCAGTGGAGCCTATAATAATGTCAAGTAATCATTAGTGCTTAATCAGTCAAGAAATTCCTAGATTTAGAAAATAGCTTTAAGATAAAATATAAAGCAAATTTTAGCATTTGTTAATTTGGGATGCTAAGGTCACAGATATTTATGAAATTATCCTTTTTAATTTTGTTTGTTTTTAATTAAATAAAAAGAAGATTTCCGTAGAACAAATAAGGGAGGGTGTGGTTTCTGGGCAACAATGAAAAGTTTCCAGGTATAGTGAATGTTTTCAGTAGAATAATAGCCTTTAGCTATTGCAAATAGGAAACATGTAGATGATTTAATACAACCTTGTACAACTGTATTTTCCTTTATTTACTTGTCTGTCTTTCATTAGACTGTGACTTTGTTAAGAGCAAGGGTTGTATCTTAGTCACATTTGTAACTCTATCCCCATACAGTGTACCTAGGACAAAGTAGGCAGTCAGTAATATTTGCCAGATGATTGAATAAATGAATACTTGGAAGAATTTACATGAAATAATGTTACTTTAAAAAATACTAGATTACAGTGGTATAAAACTTGATAGATCCACATTAACAAATGTGCAAATGTGGAGTGCTGTAACTAGTTCAGAGTTTTAATGCTCATTAGGTTTCTTTTATATCTGTAAAAACACTAAGTTTTTCTTAATAGTGTATCATTTACTCTGAGGGATAGGTAATCAAGTATACGGTGGTTTATCTGTTACTCTATAAATTGACAGTGACATTTCAAAAATAATGAAGTACTGTACTTAGTTAGGAATTTGTAATAATGGGTGTGTTGCCATTCAAGATTACATTTATCCTAGAATATAGGCATTGATCGACAATAATTCACTAAACACATTCTTCAGCCATTTAAATCTTGAGTCTCATTAGTACTAGACTTACAGATTATGCTGTATAATAATATGAATGCACAATATTTGCATACATATTCCCAGTTCATTCTTTCATCTTAATTTGTGTTCCTCATAATTCATTGGTAACGAAATTGACTTTAATTCCTTTAATACTGAGCACAAAATTGAATGTGAGGGTTACAGGAAAAATCCAAGGCTTCATATAATTGAAATTTTTATTGAAATTTAATTGCAAGAGGTAAGGATTTCTTTGTTTTTAGAGTGCCTTCATGAAAGCTATCATTCAGGTCATAAGTAAGTTCCTAAGAGAAGCTTTCCTAAGTTTAAAGACTTCTTTTGGACTATGCATAGATCATAATGATTTGGTATCTGCTGAGTGTATGTGACAAGAAACACTGTTCCTTGTAATTGTGAATTTACCTTGACTTTTTTTTTTTTAAATTTTAAATAAGACTTTATCTTAAGCTTGCTGTTAAAATCAAATTCATGAACAGGTTTGGATGATGGCTTCCTAGGCCTGAAATTATTTAAGCTTAGCTTTGGTCCAGTTACATCCATCCTTTCAGTGATTCCATTATGTTAGTGCAGCCAGAGATACCTATACTATATAAAGCTTTTATTAAATAAAACCAAACCCAAACCATATCCATACTATGAGTCATTCTTCAGTGGCCCAGAATGGACTAACCTTTATATCACTAATTGTTCTATCTCTCACCAGAAGTATATGTTATGTGAGCCTCTTTGTTTTGATAGAACTGCTAATAGCTTTATTTATAGATATTTCCATTAATGATGACAGTTTGGCTTTCTAAGTGTTTACTGAGCATTTATCAAATGTATATAGCACTGGACTAGATCCTCAGGACTGGAGGTGCTTTGCTCCAATGAGGGGCTATTGGTGAAGAAGGGATAAGGAGGAAAGCAATTATTACTATGTGACAGTAACCACAATCTATTTTTTATTTTAGCCTTGTTCCAAACAATAGATTTTTTCTAACATGTAAATGGATTCAATTTTTTTCATACGCACAATTTTTTAGCCATGAGTAATCTAGAACCCTCTGATTATCAAGAAATTATAATAGTTTCTTATCTATTTATTGTTTCATTCATTTGATTGTTCATCCATTCAACACTCATTTTTTAGAATCCTCTATCATAGGTGTAAGGATTACTCCTTTTCAGTCTAACCTCTCTGACTAACGTGTATCTGAGCAGTAGCTCATTTAATTGTCCCAGTCCAGATGTTGGAGATCAGGGCAAATTTCAAGGGCAGCTACATCATTCTCATTTCTTCGGTAATTCTAATGCACTGGTGGAACATGGGCAACATATGCCGGAAGGTAGGCTTATCTTACAAGGTTCTGATTCAGGACTTAAAAACAATACTGCCACCGCACAGAGAACGTATGCTTATTGGCTCATGGCAGCTTTCTGTGTTGCCAAAGGAAATTGTTGCCTTTGTGATTTGTGCTATGGAATGTGTAACTTTTTTTGTCCTAAACTTTATCTTTATCTTACTGTTTTAAGCACTCTGCACCTTTTCCTTTCCTCTCTTTAAAATCTCCTCATTGTCGTGCCCATTCTCTTTCCAGAGCTAGCAATGATAAATAGGATTCCTACCAAAAGGGCAGAAGAGTTCCATTTTCTCCACATTCACTTGTCATTTTAATAATAGCCATTCTAACAGGTGTGAGGTGATATGTCACTGTGGTGTTGATTTGCATTTCCCTGATGATTAGTGAGGTTGGGCACCTTTTCACGTACCTGTTGGCTATCAGTATGCCTTCTTTAGAAAAATGTCTGTTTAGATCCTTTGCCCATTTTTTAATATGATTTTTTTTTTGCTATTGAGTTATATGAGTTCTTTATATATTTTGGATGCTAACCTCTTATCAGATATATGATTTGCAAATACTTTCTCCCATTCTGTAGGTGGCCTTTTCATTTTGTTGACAGTTTCCTTTGCTGTACAGAAGCTTTTTAGTTTGATGTAGTCGCACTTGTTTATTTTCTTTTGTTGCCTTTGCTTTTTGTGTCAAGTCCAAGAAATCATCACTAAGACTGATTTCCAGGAGCTTACTACCTATTTTTCTTCTAGGAGTTTTATGGTTTCAGGTCTTACATTCAAGTCTGTAATACATTTTAAGTTAATTTTTGTGTATGGTGTGAGATAGTGATTCAGTTTCATGATTTTGCATGTGGCTGTCCAGTTTTCAAAGCACCATTTACTGTTGCTTGTATGTTCTTGGCTCCTTTGTTGTATTAGGGTAATGCTGGCCTTGTAAAATGAGTTTGAAAGTGTTTCTTTCTCTTATTAATTCTTCTTTAAATGTTGGTAGAATTCACCAGTTAAGCCATCTGGTCCTAGACGTTTTTTGGTGCGAGGTTTTTGATTACTGATTCAGTCTCCTTACTAGTAATCAATCTGTTCATTTTTGTTTCCATCTTGATTCAGTTGTGGTAGGTTGTATGTTTCTAGGAATTTGTCCATTTCTTCTAGGTTATCTAATTTGTTGATGTATAATTGTTCATAGCAGTCTGTTATGATCCTTTGTATTTCTGTGGTATCCGTTATAATGTCTTTCCCTTTCATTTCTGATTTTATTTATTTGAGTCCTCTCTTTTTCTTGGTGTGTCTAGCTAAAGATTTATTGATCTTTTCTATTATCTTTTTAATCTGTTTCACTTATTTCAGCTCTGATCGTTGTTATTTCCTTTCTTCTACTAACTTTGGGCTTTATTTGATCTTTTCTAGTTGCTGAAGATGTAATGCTAAGTTGTTTATTTGAAATCATTCTTGTTTCTTGATGTATGCATTTATTGCTGTGAACTTGTCTCTTAGAACTGATTTTGCTACATCCCATAAATTTTAGTATATTGTATTTCCATTTTCATTTGTCATTAGGTTTTTAAAAAAAAAAAGATTTTATTGGGGAATTGGGGGAGGGGAAGTGTTGGGGAATTGGGGAAGGGGACCAGCTAAGTTGTTGTTCTTCAATCTTCG